AAAATGGCCCTTGAAGCATCATTTCTAGTAAGTTATAGAATTGCAAGATCTGGACAAGCGCATACAATAGCAGAAAATTTAATTGGAACCATATGTGCGAAAGATATCGCCAAATGTATGCTTGGGGGAAAAAGGCAAGCAAAGAAAATTGAGCTAGTTCCCTTATCAAACAACACGGTGTCGCGTAGAATTAATGACTTGGCTAATTATGTGGAAGAACGAAACTTCTAAAAAGAATAAAATTGAATTATTTTGCAATTCAACTTGACGAATCGACGGATGTAACAAATGCCGCAGTCTTGCTTGTCTACGTTAGATATCTTTTTACGAATATTGTTCAAGAAGATGTACTATTTGTAAAACCTACACAACTGGAGAAGTGATTTTCGATATGATCAATGTGGTATTTTGAAAAGAATGGAATAAGCTGGTCTTATTGTGCGGGTGTGCGTACAGATGGTGCAAAATCAATGACAGGAAAATTTTCTGGTTTTATGGCACGGGTGAAGATCAACGAGAAAATTCAATGGACTCATTGTTGTATTCATAGACAAGCTTTAAGTATGTAAGCATATTCCTGCAGAGTTATCTACTACTTTAAGTGATGCTGTGAAAATTGTGAACTTTATAAAATCGCTTGCTACAAATTGTCGTCTATTCCGTACGGCTTTGTGAGGATTTTGGAAGTTTCCACGTTTCTTTACTACTTCACACAGAAGTTAGATGGCTTTCCCGTGGTAAAGTTTTGACGCGTTGTTTGAAGTCTGAAATTCAAGCATTTTTTATTGATCATCCGTTTCATTTGTCTTCTTGTATATCCGATGTTCTTTGGCTGCAAAAGCTTGCGTATTGAGCTGACATTTTATGTAAACTGAATGAATTAAATATGTCTTTACAAGGCGAGGGTGTCACCGTTTTCAGTGTACATGATAGAATTGAGGCTATGTTCAAAAAGATCAATTTTTGGATTCAATGCCTGCAGATGAATGAGCATGGATGTTTCGATTCTGTCAGCACTTATTTATCAGAAAATTCAATTAAACTTGACGAAAACATTAAAAGGAGTATATGTGAACATCTGAACTATCTTCGATTAACTTTCGATGACTATTTTCCCAACAGATGCAATATATCCATTTCAAACAACCGGATACGTAATCCATTTCAAGGTAATGTAAGTTCAGAAACCTCTCTAAATATACTGGAAAAAGAAAAACTCATAGACTTATCTTGTGACAGTTCTCTAGAAGCAATTTTTAAAAATCAATCTTTAATTGACTTCTGGCTCAGTATACAAAATGAATATCCTGTTCTGTCAAAAAAGCCACTGATGTTCTATTACCATTTTGCACAATCTATGCGAGAAAGGATTTTCAACATATACTTATCTGAAAGATAAATACAGAAACAGGTTAAATGTAGAACCTGATCTAAGACTGAAATTGTCAGATATTGAGCTTGACTTTGAATTCCTTTGTTCTATCAAACAGCCACAAATATCCCATTAAGAGTTTTTCCAAATGTAAAACATAAAAACCACTTTGTTAAACTTATCTTGTTTTTAACTTTTATAGCCATCATTTTAGTCTTATTAATGTTTTATTTAAATGTTTCACTATTAATATAATAAATTATTCTGCAATATGAAAAATATATATTCTACCATTTTTTTTTTTTTTTTTTTTTTTTTTTTTTACGTGGCATTAACGACTACACAGGGAGTTCGTCAAATTTTTTCGGACCTTTCTTTTGGTTGGCGAGGGAAAAAAGGTTGGGAAACACTGGCTTAGATCGAAGCCTTTTCTTTCATTTCCTTCCTGTGACTCACGCTCATAATTATTTTTTTTTTTTTAATACAGCATTTTTTTTTTTTTGTAATTAAACTGCATTTTTATCTTTAGAAATTTCGTATCAAATATTACGAAATTGGTGTTCACTCTATCAAAATTACGTTTTTTCTAGAACCTAAGCTTTTTCTACGGGCAAAACGACACAGCAAATACAAATAAGACAGGCGAATGCGAATCTGTAAAAAACTTCGAAGAAAAACCATAAATAATCGTTCTTCAAAATACAAATTTACAGTAATTAGCTAATGCGTCATTTGTTGAGCAATTTTATTAATTTGAGAAACCTTAAACTAAGTATTAACTATTCTGTCAATTAAGAAAAAGTTATTTACTTTCTCACAGTTACATTTTCATTTTCTTCAGATATTTTAAAGCTTTATTTTTATTCATCCTTTATTTTAAACACAGCCTTTTATTTCAATTCTAAAAGCATTTACTTCGGAATTAAAAAATGTAAGACTTGGAATGGATCTCTTAAAAAACGTAAGATGCATCGGTTTCTACATAAACATTCTTTTAAGGATAACGTGCATATACACGTTTAAAAAGTGTTCTTGTTTCAGTATTATGCAGCTGTTGAAAATATTCAAATTTTGCTTTTGGAACTCTTTTCAAGATAGTAATAAATATAAAGAAACAATTCATCTACATCTTTGTTAAACAAGAGGATAAATTTTAAAGGTTACAGGTACTCCATAATCTTATTTTAGCTTCTTAACCCAAAGTTGCCTGCAACATCAGTTCTCAAGTCTACTATTACTAATGCATTGTTTGAACCAAGAGCTAAACAATTATCCACAGAGACTCGTTTTTCATTTATTTAAATTTTTAATAAGTAGCAGCACTAAATTAAAGCTTGATGAACCATTTAAGAATAGGGACACTGTAAACTGTGCTTATTTTTTGGAGCCAGAGGATAAACATAACAATTGAATATAATTACAATAACAAACATAATATAATTACAGTAATACATAAATTACTTCCATACAAAGAAAGGCACAAATTTTTATGCAATCAGCTATTGAAGACTAATTCTTCACACCCATTTCTTTAGCAACTACAGTGGCCCTAGCATGTTATCTACAGTAGCCCTAGCATGTATCTTGGTGATTTCAGTATTGGAAAATATACTATAGAAAATCACAGCGTAATCGCATTCAAGAGAAAACCGTGCTCATACAAAAAGGCTGAAAACAGGCACTCTGAATTAATAGCTTTAAGGTCCTTCGTTTTCAAAATTTTTAAAAAATAACTCTTATATTGCTTTTGTGTAAAAGCTGCACTTGTCTACGCACTGGAAAATAACTATTCTAGTATATATTCAGACTCAGCCTCTAGCCTCCAGGCAATCCAAGGCACATGTAGTAAAAATCCACTCGTCAGGGCCATACAAAAACTCTTACTAAGAACACCTAAATACTATAGGCCTGAACTCCAGTGGGTACCTGCCCACACTGGAATACTGGGTAATGAAATTGCAGATACAATAGCCAAAAGAGCAGCAACTGACCCCCACGTTCGCACACTTGACGTGCCTCTCCCGGGTTCGTTCTTAAAAGCTCAGCTCGAGAGAGAATTACTCAAACGTTGGCAACATCTGTGGGAGACAGAAACCACCAGCAGAAGAGTTTACAGATTTTTTCCAAAAGTCTGCCGGCTTCTAAAATCTGGCTCGTCTCACTTCACTCAGTATCTAACAGGACATGGTCCCTTAATGACTTACCTGCATCGCTTCAGACGACGCGAAAACGAGCATTGCTCACGCGGGATGGTAGGAGATCCGGAACACTATCTGTTCGCTTGCAGAGAGACCGCCAAATATCATCTTAGGCAACCCAGTAGCAAACCACATCCATGCATGGGCCGAAGCTACTTCAAAAAATCGCAATGCATTGAAACGCATATGCGAGTGCATAAACATTGCACGCAAAATCTCAGACAGGCTGGAGTAATTCTCAGCCACCATCCTCATCACCAGCACATCCCCTGTATGCTCTGTACCTGTAGTGAACTAATTTTATCTTAAGTTAGCTTATTCGGCTTTTCTTATTCCCTGTATATATTTATCTCCTTGAACTGTAAACCTTGAACTATGTATTTTGCCTTATTTTATGTATTGTTTCCAATGTTTTGCCTTTTTTTATTTTATGTATTGTTTTACTTTTTAGTATTTTACTTCTTATTACTTTTAGTTTTTGTAACCACCTATCCATTACTATGTAAATATGTAACTGGAATTGTTCTTCATGCCCGCAATGCACCCTTCTTCCATCTTGCACTATTGTCTTTGTCCAGCATTTGTTTGCACTGCCTCCAGCAGTCGTCTTGAGCACAATATGTATTTATAAGTGTGTCTTTTGTTCAAGTTATTTCTGTCAGCGGGGCTACCTGGCCGATATGCTAACTACCCAGTGGACCGGCTGCCTCGCTGTCGGTGGAAGGAAAGAAAGTACATGTTACACACCACAAAAAAATTTTCTTTATAAAATACAAGGAAGTTTTTTTAATAGTGCACAAATATTTTACCTTTTTTGCTTACATAAGCAAGATAAAAAATTGCAAATTCTTAAACAGCTTCAAATAGCATATGGAAAACACACCATTTAAGCAGGGCCAAAAATGCAGAGGACTGCTTCAGTTTTGGTTTGTGCTCACTGGCTGATGTGCAACAGATAACAAATGACCTGAAGATGTGCATAATATCACTACATAATTGCATTTGCAAACACATCTACTCCTACATGCATAAGAGTACCAGTTGAAAGAACCTTTTTTTTAAAAGAGATAATAAAAAGAAAAAGCAAAGGATTTCAGATGCTGAAAACTGAGTTTTAGGTGGAAATGAAATATTAAGCCCATTGGATAAATATGCGAGAAATTATAGGAATAAGTTGGAAAAAATATATTGTATATTGGGTTGGAGGTAAATTTGGCATGTCTGCTAAGAGAAGGCATCCTTCACAGAGGAGTTTCTATAGCCTACTTGCTGATGCTCAAATTACTTACAGAAAACACATGAAAATAAACCTGAAGCCAGCTCCTTCAGAATCTGAATTGAATTATCAATGTTCAGTGGTATTACTCACTCAGCTACTACTGAGCAGACTTATGCAAGGAAAGTGGAGAAGGAAAGAAAACCACATTAAAGAAAGTTTTAATTTAATTTTATTGCATCACATAAACAGTAATTTTATTGTATTACATAAAACTAATCCTTTGGTGAACTTAATCTCTGAAGCTTGAAGGTTTCTTTAATTCTTTGTACAATACAAATTTTTGCACTGAAAAATAAATAAACTCATATTAATTCAAATTTACACTAAAATGTTTAAAAAAGCAAAAACATATTACTCCCTTTGTTGCAAACACTTTGACTGATCTGATTCCAAATTCAAATCACTGATAATATATAGTTAACTTTCATTAACTTGATCTTAATCTTCAAAATTTTACTAATTTAAACAAAGACTAAAGTATTGAAAATCTGAGTTCAGAAATAATGTTAATAAATTTTGTTAATTCAAACTACTTGTCTCATAATTTGGATTGTTTTCTTCCACAACTAACTTATATCAAGGTATAATTTCTTTTTGCTTCAGATTGCTAGAAGGACAATTTTTTAAAAGAATCTCCAGTAACCGATTATGGGAAAGGGGGAGGGGAAAACTTTTCCGACAGTTCTCAACCCTTTAGGGAAAACTTGTCACAATAAGAACATTCTATTAGAGAATTTCTATTATAACTGAAGAATTAATATCAAGTTCGATTATTCCCTAAATATAACTTCCTCTTCAAAATATTTAGTAATATAATTAATAAAAATTTAATATTACAAATGAGGGAAATGACAATATAACATGATCAATAAAATGACTTTAATTTTTTTCTACTCCTCAAATATAACATTAATTCAATAAATGATGAACCTTACAGTTTATATTTCTTTTATTTTCCATAAACATTTTAGAATTCAATGTAATAGTCAAAAAGAAGAGAAATATTTTATACTTTTAGATTACGTCAAAAATATTTCAAGGATCATTTAACCAGTACAAATCTAAAAGAATTAAAATAAACTTTACACTATCTTAAATTTTTAATGACTCAATACAAAGTATAACTAAATTTGGAAAGTTCAATACAAAATGTAATTGAATTTGTAATCAGAATTACAAATAAATAAAACTTGAAAACTGTTTTGGAAGATAGGATTGAACTATAAAGGAAGGAAATAATTACAGAAGAAGAAAATACAATAGTTTTTACTAGTTGTGGCCTTTATTTTGAAAATCACACCACTATATTCAAAAAGCACAGACACTTTTAGTGCACAACAGCAGATTTAAAACAATCGTAAGGTAGGTATATATATGCAATTATTTAATAAAGGAATATACATAGAATTGTTCGAAAAAAGCCATGACAATATGATATATATATATATATATAAAACTAAACTCAGTGGCGTAACAGCCCTACTGGGCTAAGGCCTGCAGTGACCAAAATCTGCTTTCTTGACTGTGAGCCCCGGGGTGCGTAAGCATAGGCCCTGAACAAGTGGTCAGCTTGGTCGCAGGACTCCTAGTGTTTAGTCCCCAAGCGAACTTGGTACTCATTTTAGTGATGGAAATCAAGGGATGAAAGGCTGAATTGACCTTGCCCAGCCCGGGAGTCGAACCCCGGACCTGTGGTGCTGCTAGCCACTGCACCACCAAGCCTCATTTTATAAATTTACAACTATATATATATTACTATATATTACTCTATTCAACATATGGTCAAGTGCAGTCTTTTTTACCATTGTTCTGTCTTAAGTAAAGGATGACTTTTCACTTATTCACATTCTTCCGTTGTTTTAAAATGTATGTGCACATACAGAATTGTGGGGTGCCTATTGCACCCATAATCACGTGTGAAGCATACATTGTGTGTCCAAAATTGCTTTAGGCAAATAACAAAATTATGTGAAATTGTCACGTCTATTTGCAAGACCATCATTCCATTTAAGCAGTAAACATGTCCAAGTTATGTCTACACTACCGTTCCTTATTACACACATACATATATATGACATTTGAGATATCTATTAAAATTATATGGTCTGCATATAATATATGCATTCAACTAATATAAGATTTATACCTTAATTACTGTTTAGCTTTAATTTATAACAAATATTATATAACTAGATTCTTAAAGAAGCGTTCAGCAATATTGCATTACACCCAACCATGACAAGAATCATTGAACAAAGTGTTGTTGAAGTACCTAACTTAAAATTTTATGATGTATTTCATCTGGCAAGCCACATGGTGTAATGTTACTCGATTTTGGAATTCGAGGGTCATGTTTGTACTGTCCGCTTGTGATTAGTTTTTTCCCTCTTTTAATAAATCGTAATGCAACTGTGGAGTCTTCCAGCTAATGGAAAAGGAAGTGTTGCATTTTTCTAGAAATATGATGTTTTGCTTAGTAGTAAAGTGTAGGAATATGCATATCATGAAGCTGTAGTTTACAAATGATCGAATTGTATGGTAATGTACCGTTAAAAATTGGTAGCAAAGTTCAATTGTGAAAAATTTGGCTAGCATTATTTATTTTTGATGTTACTTTATTATGGAATCCTTGTAACTCAAAAGTAGTTTATGTGCTTTTCTTATGGTATTATGAAAATAGTTTATTCCAAATAATTATCTTATTTTTTCCTGAAGTTTAAACAAGTGCACATGGAGAGCAGTGCCCACTTGCTCTGTGATGTTGAGAATTCTACAGTTCAGTGTAATTTTTTTAAATGTTACAACAGATCACTGGGCACATGGATGGAAGACTGAGAAAACAGAAAGGATTTATTATGGATGTTTGCTGTGTTTATAATTTAGTTTTCTCTTGCTGTTTCATGAAATTTTGAGTGTTTCATTATTAATGTTTGTTTTATGTAATTTTTACTGTTTCATTATGGATGCTTCTTGTGTTTTTAGATTAATTAATTTGTTGTTGCTTTATGTGCTTTTCAGCATACCACCAGTTTTTTAAAATGGCTATTGCTTTTCAAGTGTTTGGTTGGCAAAACATTAGTCACCAATGACTGGCAACGTTGTGGGAGGACAGGATAACATGAGAGCACCAAGCAATCTGTTATACAGTATAAAGTCCGAAATCTGGACGTCCATTATCCGGAATGATCTAAAATCCGGACCTCAAAGCCACAAACATTTTTTTTTCATAAATCATAATTGTTCTTTATTGTATGCTTTATGCATTTGATTTTTCCTTCCATAATAAAATATGTAGAGATTTTCACTTAAAAGTTCCAATTCTTAATTTCACTTACGCACTAAATAAAACAACCTATTATGGAAAAACAATCATGTAAGCATAAATTTATGAGATTAATAATTTCGCTCCATAGCTGAGTATCTGCTTGGCATACATCTCAAACCCAAACATTCACCTATTTTACATCCCTGACGTGGACCTGGTGAATCATTATTTATTATATTTTGCTTTCATCACAGCATGTTTATCAATACATGACAGCTTCAGTAATAACTCATGCAGCGATGTCTAAACTTTTTTTTTTTTATATTAAGAATTGAATAACAAGAGTATGGCAACCTATTATGCTAACATTTTGCCTGGCGATGATTACATATTTTTTTTTAAATGCTCTAAGAAATACTAATTCAGAAGTCAAACAACAAAAATCAGCGTTATACCTACAAAATTTTGTAGGTATAACGCTGATTTTTGTTGTTTGACTTCTGAATTAGTATTTATTCGGCGTGTTATTGTGTCTTAGCTCTAAGAAATGTTGATGAGGAAAAATTCAACAAAAATTTCTTTTCATATGCTAAAAATAGACTTTGTTAATGAAACTCATAGGCCAAAAGATTACATTTAGTCCTATTTTAATTAAGAATAACTGATATGTTTATTCACCATAAACCCAGAAGTGGCGGTAGAATATGTCGGCACCAGACGGCAGAATTTAGGGAAGACGAAATTTTTGAAATTTGGGGAAGCACCAAGTGGTAAAATTAAGGGATGAGAATTTTTTTATGATTTAGGAAAAGCACTGGGATCTAAAGTTTAGGCACAGTGAAAATTTAGAACTTGGGAAGGCACTTTGTAGCAGAATTTAGGACCCGTAGAGACTGCACCAGGTGATACCTAGCGCCAGCCCTAGATAAAGCCTTAAGTATATGTGGAAGTTTATTTATTTAGGACTCAGATTAGTTTTAAGCATGTGCAAGAAATAAACATAGGTATAGTAAAACACTAAACTAATACAATTCAGGCTTAATTCAGTACGCAAGACAAAAATTCAGGAGCATGACAAAATTTAGCAAAACAACTTGGCTTTCATCGCTAATCTTGTGATACACAGCCAATAATGTATAACAGACACTATTAAGCTAGGCTAAACTTATCTTTACAAATTCTAAAGTATTTCAGTTAATGTAGAGACTGTGCTGCTCTCTAATTTGATTCACCTTATTATTTTTTGCCGACTGTTATTATTACGGCAATTTTATAAAAACTAAGCTTGAACTTTCGATTATGTCGAAAAGAGTTTCCAATTTTGGAGCTGTGAAAGGATCTAAAATCCATCTCAAAATTATGCGAGGAGTATGACACTGGAAAGCAACTGTATATGACATAAGGAAAAAAAAAAAGGAAATTTTGAATTTTTTGTGGGAGCAACTTAAACAACTTACATTTAAAGAAACGTTTAATAAAGTAAACAGATAAATATTAAGCTTTTTTTGGTAAATGTTGATACCCTTTAGATCATAATTGTTCTTTATTTCATATTTTTAACTGCATAATTTCTGCATGCCATCTTAACAGATTTAAATTGATGATCTAATATCCGGAAAAATCCCAAATCCGGTATCGCCGAAGCCCCGAAGAGTCCAGATTTCAAACTTTGTACTGTACTTTATATAAATATGCAAAAGAATGTTATTTTTTGCATATTTTAATCAAGCTTTAAAGAAATTATTTTTTCTCTTCAAAATTTTTTTTAATGCATTAAACTGAAACATGGTCTTCTTTGAACCTTATACTAACCTTACATTCTTTTTACATTAAATATTTTGCCTAAAAATAAAATACTGAGCTTAGAATTTCATATCATCTCTTACGAGAGATAAGATTCTAGGATGGACCTGAAAATAATTTCTAAAAATTTAGCTAGCATTTTATTGCATTATTATCAGCTCTTAAACACATGGTTTAGTCTTTTTGGTACAGATTCAACTACTTATATTTATTATTT